TTTAAACCCCGCCCCCCTATCCCTTGCTTCTTCTTCTCTCGACGGGTTTCAACAGCCTTGTGATGCGTGCTTAGGCGTGTCGACGTTCGTCTTCAGGCGAAACCGTCGTGTCGATGAGGCCCTGAGACGACTGGACCGCTCCGAAAGGCTGGAGGAACAGGCTGCCGTCTTGACGGCTTCGAATGCCAGCCTTCTCGAGAGGCTGCTACACACGGAGGTGGCCGTTTTTTCAGCGGTTCCGTCATTTGCTGCGATTTTTCGCAGTTGTTAGTGCTGGCTTGTGTGTGCACGACGCTTTTTGGTATGCGTTGACTTGTCTTGCTGAGTTTTGTAGGTCTGCGTCTCACTACTCTCCTGCCCGTGGGTATCGATCTCGTCCCGGCAGCGACAGACACCAAGTTTAACCAGCATGAACGCAACATAACCTTTATTTGTGCAATAAACAACCCAATTATTGGTACCAGCATAAACGACATCTAGAAAGTTCTTGGTACGCTCAACATCGATTTTTTCCTCATTGTTCAACCAATGCCCAAGGCAAGGCTAGAGATAGCGGTCGAGCAGCTGAGCAAGGCAGAGGGGTCCGGCAAAAACGGCCGCGACTGGCTGGTCAAAGAACTCGCCCGCGTGGTGCAGGAGACCCACGTGCTCCAAGCTGAGGTTCTCAAGCGCGACGAGGTGGTGCTAGAAATCCACGGCCAGGTGATTGTAATTTTGTTGCACGGTTTTTGGGGGTCCAATCTTTCTCTACAACGGTTTTGCTTGTCTCTCCTTGGACCACTCTGGCAGAGCCGAAGAGTTTCGCATTCACGTTGAAAGGTGTACAAATCGACGCCCAGAATGCGTTAGATTACACACGCATGCCCGTAAGTCTACCTGGTTGTCGAGAGATTCGTACGAATGATCGAGGCGAAGTGTCTGCCTCTTGACATCGAGCAAACTACGGGCCCCTCTCATTGTTGCTTCTCGCGGCCGCTGCTTGTCTGTGACCGAACATTGCACAGAGGGATCGCGAGAGGAAAGAACGAACGCTCGAGGCGAAATCGTCGGCTGAGTCGTTTCGATCGCGCCTCTCCTCGGCCCACGAAGAGTTGGAAACCGTCAGAGAGGCGTTACTGCAGAGCAACGCCGAGACTCGCAGGTATTCGCAAGACTGTTGTTGTTTGTTGTTTCTCACATTAGCTCCTCTACAGTCCACAAAAAGTGGGGAGCCCGTGGTCGCAAAAACCCGGCACATACGACGCCGCGGGGAATCAAAACAAAAATAGGGTAGAACCACTCGGAAAAGAAAACAAAATGGTAGAAAGAAAAGAACAGCCACCGCACCGGTCGAGAAAGAGCCCTAGAAGACCGATCACTGTATACAGGTTTGTAAATTTTCTTTACAGTTCGTTGAGGTTCGCTGGGCTCTTGGAGTCAAAAGCACGTCAGCTGTGTGAGCTGTTCGAGCTTAGGAAACGCCGCTGATGGCAGCTGGCGGGTGATTTACCCTGCTTTACTTTCATCTTGCATCTCGCCTTGATGGCACTACTACTATGGTCTGATGAGCACACTCCGGAGGCATGCCTTGTACTTATCCATACATGGATGTTGTTCGCCGTTCGATGGCAGAGAACGAATGAAAAAGCCCCTCGGCGCACAGTCTAGATTCTTCAACTTCAGCATTGAACAGGGGGTTCCACAAAGGTCGCACTTTTTTTGTCCCCAACGTTGTTCCAGGTGCTCATCAACAATCTGTTGAAAGTCGTAGAAGCAGTTGGGAAGGGGGTAAAGGTCGGGGAAACCTGGGTGTCGGGAATGCTGTTCGCGGATGATGTTGTTGGGATGTGTGACACCCGAGAGGGGGCTTCAACTGCAGGTTGACGCAGGGCAGGATTTTGCTGATAAGTGGAAAGTTTCTGCAAACGTTTACGAAGAGTGCCGTCATGGTGTGCAACGAGGACAGGGAGAATCCAGTAGATAAGACTATAGTTGGAAGTGGGGAGTCGAGGAGCTTGCCGTAGTGGCCCAGTACACATATCTCGGAGTAGAGATCGCAAAGACTGTTCGTGGAATGCCCACATGTACAAGGTAGAGCAAGAGGGCAAAGCACGAGCAGGGAAGCTGCACCCAATACTCGCAAACCGGCACCTTTGCTACACGCATCAAATTGACAGTATTGAAGAGTGTAGTAGTACCGCCGCTAGAGTACGCCGGAGAAGTAGGGAAGGAAATAAGAAGGTAGTGAAAGATCTCGAGGGGGCGCAGATGAAAGCAGCGAAAATTATCCTAGGATGCTCCAAGCGATGCAGCCGTCAGGGCAGAACTGGGGATCTAATCCCGACGATCGGGAAGAGACGCAAGGAAGCTAAAATGACAGTACCGCATGTGCTTTATGGGCGAGGAGAGGTTGCCGCAAATAGCTTAGGCGGCGAAGTGGGCGAACAAGAGAGGGGTAGACAACGCACGGAGTGGGTCAAGGTTGAAGATGACGTATGGATGGAGTTCAAAATTGACGAAGGCGAAATGCTGGAAACTGAAGGTCTACAGGGGTTCAAGAAGAAGACATCTGTTGCTTTTGCCGAGAGAGAAGAACTGAATCTAAACAAAGAAGCCAAAGATAAAGTGTACGGAATGTTGAAAGAAGGAATAGGGTTCAAGGAGTACCTACATGGACCTGTGGAAGCAGGGACAAAGCTGAAGGTCAAATTCAGGACCAGGAACATTGGCCTTCGAGAACGTAGTCGAAGACTTCGGAAAGTAGACGATGAGACAAGTTCAAATACGATTGCGGCTCCGAGTACGAAGACCGGGATCATGTAGTTGCGGAATGTCCGTTGTACAAGAAGGAGAGGGAAGTGTACATGACTGAGCTGGGAAAATTAGAAGGAAGGTACAGGGAGATGTTTGAGGCATGGAATCGCCAGGAGAAGACGGTAGTTGTACTGGGGCATAGGAAGTGGTTTGAAACGGCGGGAAGTGATATCGATAGGATGAAGACAGATTAGGGAAGACATTTTTTAGCCAACCTTGGCAAGTAGGAAGAAACGATTGGCCATCGGTGATCGGTCCTGTGGGAACAAGGCTCCGTCCTCTCGAGGACGCGTGGTCAATTGTCTAACCGCTAAGGCATGCAAAACATAAGAGTACGCCCCCAACCCGTGGGCACACGCAATTGGTGGTGGCTGCTGCCTGTGGCCGTGCTCGAAGATTCTCGGAGACAAAGAGTCTCGGATAAATGAGGGATGAGTGTGTTGTGCTATGGACAGTCGAGGGGTAGCTCTATTACGCGGATACGTGCCAAACGTTTTCACCTGCACTATTGCGGGCACCCGCACCATTCAATGTACTAAATTTCTTGATTACTCTGTCTGTGCCAACAACTTCGCCCGCACTATAGAGGGGCCCAGGCTGACTGCATCTGACCTGCCTGTCTTTCGATCGGTTTTGCGGTTTCTCTTCTTTCATGCCACTGTCGGCTTTGGTGATATTTCTGTTCCTGTGTACTCCCCATCCAAACCAACACCCCTCGTCTCCATCTCAACAACCAGCCCAGCAAAATCCAGCTACAACTGCACTGTCGTTGTCGTCGGAAAATGACAGAGAGGCAAGCAAGGCGACCGAGCTGGAGAACGAGGCATTTTCCCTGCGTGGAACCGTAAAGCACCTCGAAGCGAAACTCCGCGGGCGCGGTCTGTCGCTGGCCGAGGCGAACCGCTGGGGGGCGGCGGCGGCGAAGGAGGCGGCGTCGTTGAAGGAGAGGCTTCGACAAGCAAGAGAGGAGGGTGCCGAGAAGGCGAGATGTGTTGTCGTGTCGTTGCCACTCTTCTTGTTGTCCTTGTTCTTGTCCTTGTTCTTGCTCTGCTTGCGATTATTGTGTTCTTGGTGGTGGTGGTGATGGTGGTCGTTTCAGATGCGGTGCTCGTGTTCTTCGTGGTTATGGTTTTTGTGGTGGTGGTGGTGGTGGTGGCGATTTCAGTTGTGGTGCTGACTTTTTTGCTGGTAATGGTAGTGTTTGCGATGGTGGTGCTGCTGCTGTCCGAGTCCTGACGGATTGATTCCTTGCCCCCGTCGAATAGGAGCTAGAAGCCGGCAACAGGCTTCACGAGGCGAACTTAGCCCTGGAGGTCGAGGAACGCGAAAGTCGGAGTCTCGTCACCAAGTTGGACGAAGCAAACGTGAGCCGCAAACAAGACACTATCCTAAGATGGCATCCCCGATCGTTGATCGGGTTGTAGAATAGGCCCCCTTCACCGAAACTTGGAAAATTCCACATCTTTTTGCGCTTTGTCCAACGTGTGCTGTAAGTGGGGTAGGTTTCCAAACGTGGCAGAAACGGTCTTCAAAGGCGGTGTTGGTTGCACTTTTTCGTTTGCATCTCGCCCTTGCTCTCCTTCCCAACCCTCTGTCGGCATGCTGCGTTCCTCTATCCGCTTTCGATTTGCGCTCCCGGTTGTTGTGCACACGTTCCTCACGCCCATCGCACCTTACACTCGTCTCGCTTCACCCAGGCCACCGTCCTTAACTTTCAAAAGCAAGCCGCGACTGTTGCCTCGAACGCCGAGGTCCAACGAGAACGCTGCCAAGACGTCGCCGATGCCGTTGCGGCCGCGGCCAACGCGGTATCGTCGCCGCCACCCCCGGTTCCACGCCTCGCCATCATCCCCATAACAGAAAAGGTCGTCGCGAAAGAAACGCGCTCGACGCAAACTACTCCCGAAGAGGATGATGCAGCCCAACGCGCTTCTCTTGTTGACAATGGTACGATCCATGGTGGTGGTGTTGTTGACGGTGGTCGTAGTGGGGTCGGAAAGGTGCGTCTAGCAGCGAAAGCTTGCGGGTTCGGGATCAAGCGGGGGCTGAGGCTAGCGTCAGAGAGGAGCTTGGCGGCGAAAGCAGCACCAGCAGCACCAGCAGTACCAGCAGTACCAGCAGCACCAGTAGCACCAGCAGTGTCAAAGGCGGAAGCTGACTCGGTGGTCAGAGGCGTACCGGAAGAGAAGCTAAAATCCTCCTCGGGAATGCCAAACGCGCCCATGAAAGAGGAGCGCAAGGAGAACGCAATGCCGGTTCAGATACGGTCGGGAGAGGACGAAGGGGAAGGAGAGGGGGCGGCGGCGGCGAGCAGTTCGGCCGTCCGGGCGTGGCAGAAGCGGGCACGGGAAGCTGAGGCTCGGCGCGATGTGGTGGAGGTGATACCTCAAGTCGTTGGTTGCCGTTGTCACCGCTCTTCTCTTTGTTGTTTTGGCTTCTTGCGATGACTACACGTACAGTGGTAGTGGTGGTGGTGGTGGTAGACTGCTTTGTCGCCAGTTGACTGCGGTTTCTGTTTTTCATTTTTCAGGGGTGGACGTCGTCGCTGGTCGTTAGCAAGACACCCACGTTGCAACAGGAGACCAGCAACAGTTCAACAGGACCACCGCGTTTTACGTCTCCATTTGTCTGCAAATGTGGGTTTGGCTTTTCACCATTGCCCACGGATTTCGCGGGCCTCTCTCCCCGTCTGCGTGTCTCTGCCTGCCTCTTTGTCACCTTTCGCCCCGTCTCCTCAGGCTCCTGACCGTTCTCCGGACCGACCCGGGCCGTTGCGTTGACACGCCGTCCGATCAACCTTAACCACCTCTCCTTTCCTTTCTCTCCCGCCTCAATAGACCCCCATGTTCTGTTTTTTTTTCGCAGCGTGAGCTGTGTCGCGAGGTTTCGTGGGGAGTCCGGAGGGCCGACGGCTTCGCGTCCGCGATGGATGGGCTGCGGTTGGCGGTGGACCGCTTGTCCGGTGCTATCACCGGCGGTGCTGATGTCGAAGGTAACGTTCCCGGCAACGCCACCGACATTTGGGCATCCTTCGCCCATCGGTGGGCTAAGGTTTGGGTTCCAGGGTCTAGGGCTGGTTGTTGTACGTCTGCGGGTGCTACTGAAGATGGCGTGAACGGTGGTTGGAATCCGGGGGTAGTGTGTCACAAGAGTGGTCAGACATGGAGGGAGAAAGAGAAAGAAAGAGAGAGAGAGAGAGAGAGAGAGAGAGAGAGAGAGCTATGAGCGTTGTTCGACGGGTTGTTAGTCTGCATGAAGTGGTGATAATGTTTCTTGTATTTTGTTTCCATGACATACGGTAGGATCCCGCATGGCATTAACATCAACGAACAGCCGTGTTGGAGGCTTACTCCTCTTCTCTGACGTACGTCGGATGCAAGAAAAAGATTATTTAGCAAGCAGCACGCACGCAACCAGGGCTGTCTGCGGCCCTCCTTAGCCGTGGGATGCTCCTGGGCAAGGTGTTTCCATTCTTTTCCGATGTCTTCGGGCACAAGACCCGTTGTCAAGGGTAGGGAACGAACGGCCGTCTGTTCCGAAATAAGCTATAGGTTCGACGAACCTTTCGGGGTATCTGAGGCACAACAGGTGTGCGAAACCACGTGGCACCTGGAGGCCTGGTACGTTGCTATAGCTTCTCGGAAGAAGTTTTCAGCTGGGTAAAATACATGGGGACTCTGAATAACAGTTATTCCCTGGCTTTGTGGCGTACGCTTACGTGCAAATGCTCTGTGTCCCGACAAGCTACACCGGCTTGTTGATCCTGTTGTTCGTGGGTTGTTGCTGCTAGCGCAGAAGCCGAACCTCGACACAACTATGGCTCGTCGCTACCCAACTGGTGGGTATGTTCCCCTGATGCGCAGCTTTGGCTGACGAACAGTCCATTGATAGTGTCCCTCTCAACCGTACTCCACCCCTGCTCGATGCTGCTACAAACTATAGCCACAGTCCCCAGAGGTAGAGGTCGAAGGTCAAGGCAGGCGGTAACACTTATACCCTCCATACCTTGCTCGATCTATTTACGGTTGTCGTCGGCATTGTTTTTGGCCGCGGCAGTCGTTGGCGATGATGTCGGGGGTGAGGACTGCACGGGGGCCGTCGTGACCGGGCCTGTTGGTGGTGGTGGTGGTGGTGGTGGTGGTGCTGCTGCTGCTGCTGCTACTGCGGTCAAGGCAGACGAGGCTCGAAACACACGTACTGGGGGCGAGAGCGCCGGTTCCAACAGCAACAGGAAGAGTAGCGACGATGCTGCGGTCGCTGATTCAGCGCAACGGGCCGCGGACATGCTGATCGGTAGGATAGGCGAGGCGAGGGTAGGAGTGCTGGGACTTAGGATCCAGCTCACCGCCGCATCTAGGAGAGCCGCCCAAGCAAGGTTGTCGCAGAGCTGCTTAGCTCATTATTGTGTGTGGGATGTGTTCACTTCTCTGTGTTCCTGCTGTTTTTCCTGTCATGAATACATGCCGCTTTCAAATAACTTTCGACTTGAGAACTGCTGAACATGCGAAAGCTCTTTCTTGATGATGACGGACCAAATCTCGTACTCGTTTCGAAACCAATAAACATCAATGTAAGCAGCACCTGTTGCTTTGTTCTTCTCTGTGGTGTTTCGAGTCTCTCAAGAGTACAACAATGGCAAGGCTTTCGTTTCTTCGATTTGGACCAGATATTTGCTCGATGCGGTCACTGAAGAATTGTGTCGCCGTGGATTTCCTTTTTCCAGGCGACAATGGGTGATCCTATCCCGTGGCGAAGGAACGTCCTACCCCCCACTTCGATACTCGAATGCCACCCTACTGTATTTTTGCCCAGCGATATACTAAACCGTACCACGTGGTACACGGTAGCTGGGGATTGCTCCCTCATACGATTTCCCTTCTATCGTTGCCGTACCCAACGATGCACACAAACGTCAACTCGCAAGCGCCTCGCCTGAAACCCCTTCCGCTTACCCCCCCGATGCCCCATGCGCTACGTCTCTCCGCCGACGGCATACCCCCCTATGAACGTCACTACTTTCTTCTCCGTACATGGTAATGCCGACCATGGCAACATCATCAGGGAAACCAGGGAGGCTGAGCGCGTGCGAACAGCGAGGGCGATCGATTCCTTGAGGTCTGAGGCGGAGGAACTTCGGCGGAGGCCGCGGACTAGAGGGGTCGAGGTGCAGACGGGCTTGAAGGGAAGCGACGTTGGAGACACGGAGGCGCTGGTGCTGGCGCTTGAGAGGAAAAACAAGGTGAGGCGCTGGCACAGGTGCTTGAAAGGAAGCACAAGGTGGACTGTTTTTGCCCCGCTTCGAGACGAATTGCCGGCGTTATGGTTGCCTTTTGCCTTGAACTGCTGTTGCCCCGGCTTCCAGACGGATTGCTTGGCGTTATTGTTGCATTTCCTTCAATTGTTACTCCTCTTCGAGACAAAGTTGCTGTGGGTATTGTTGCCTTGCAGTTGGTTGCTGTTGCGGGGGCATACTTTCACGAAGAAAACAGATTCAGGCGACCTGCTACGTACTGTCGCCATTTGTCGCACGGCATTGGCCAAGCCCAAATATGACTGGTTAACTGGATACAGGTTGCCGCTGCTCTACTCCTTTCACCTTGCGCTGTTCGTATTTTGCGGCTGCCCCCCTCCCTTGAGAGCCTGGTCCGGTGAGAGCCCGGCGTGCTCCTCAGTCCCGGTATTATAGGGGTGCAAGGTCAATAGGCAAACGACTACGGCATGCACGACTATGAGTACACCCCCCTCGCGTTGTGTGTGTTCGTATGCCTTTGAAGGGTACTGAGGCCGGGTTTGAAACGTTCAAGAAGGATGCCGAGCGTAAATTGGAGCTGGAGAACTTGAAGGCTGAAGAAGAGGCTCTCAAGGCCGATGTAAGGCCTGCCGCGGGGTTGTTCGCGCAGCGTTTTCGCATAGGTCTCATTGTGCGGTCGTGCTTCATTGGTTAATGCTTTCGCATTGATTCGTCCCCGGGACCTAGCAGGAGTTTTCCACAGGACAGCAGAGATAAGCATACCATCGAGGTTATTTGTTTTTTAGAGCGTTTTTTTTTCGGAGCATGCACGTCTTGAACAAGTTGGTAGGTAGATACGGATATTGATACCGTTGGTTTTCGAGAAGAATCATTCCCATCTATTGCTACTAGCGGGATGTTTCGCGAAAAGAAACGCGTGTATACTTTGACGACGCATCACGCCCCTCGGCTGTTTTTTGTTTATAGAATCAATGCGAATTCATGGCTATCCATAGACGGGAGTCTAAGACAAGTTGGAGATGAATTCATAGCGTTTACTGGTGTTTCTGTGCCTGATTTTTGCAAACCGACCTCCCCACCTCCCGCGCGCCCTCCTAATGGCTACCTACATTGCAATTACGTATGTTTGGGTGTACTCAGCACCAGATACGGATCTGCGAAGAACTAGGGGCTTTCGTGCATCAATTTTGGTATGTGTTGGTAGAAGGGCGACCCCCCTTCTGCCGTGCGTGGGCCAGCGTCCCCTCTTCACTTTGTTACAACAAGGTCCCGAGTCAACTTTTTTCTTCGCATCTCTGACCATAAGCACCCCCTACACAACAACGCCCCCCCCCCGAAAGCCATCGGGGTTGGCTTTTCGTCGCTTGGCAACGGCGTTGTAAAACACGCAGATCACTTCGGGCGCTCGATAACCAGGTTGCCGTTTTGGTTTTGCCTTCGTGTTTTTTTGTGCAGTTACCTTGATGGTCGAATAGATTAAGTTGTTCGGGGTCGAGAACCCTATATACGCGCATAGGAGATGATCACACCACGTTGTGTTAAATTGGTAAAGAAACCTCGAGGTAGTTACACAGTACTCACAACTGTCTCTGGAAGTGCAAGCACCAGAAATAAATTCAAGTCATTCGCAGCTGTCATCCGTACGAAAGCGAGTAAGCACAGATGCTTAATACGCTTAGCAGGATGCAGCGCACCCTTCATGCGACTCGCCGAATACCTCACGGTGCTTCGCGCTTGGTGATGTGAGAGCCTGGTCCAGTAAGAACCCGGCGTGCTCCGTCCCGACTTTGTAGGGATGCAAGGTCAATGGTTCAACGACTACGGCATGCACGACTATGAGTACCCCCCCCAACAAATGTCACATGTAGTTTGGCACGGCGAACGCAAGGATGACGACCTGGGCCGGTAAAAACCCGGCATATCGCTCCGTCCCGGCATGGTACGGATGCGAGGTCAATGGTGCATTGTAGGGATGCGAGGCCAATGGTCTATCGACCCGGCATGCATTTTCATCAATACCCCCCCCTACCCAACAACCCGTTTTCAGGACCACCTGCACGCCTCACACGTCAGGGAGGGCAACGCACGCGCCTACTGCCAGCGGCTCGAAGGGAGAGTGGCCGCTCTGATGGCTCACAGGGAGGAGCTCCGCCAAGAACGACAGGTGCCTTATTTTATTTCAAACACGTTCACCAAGCACCATATAGAACGTCACTCATGGCTAAGGGGTAATACACCCACGAAACACCCACGGTCGCAACACTCGGACGCACGAGTGGTACACAACAGAGCAGTCAGTGATACACAAGAGATAATCGTCTGTAGCGTAGCGAGGCCACCTGGAGAAAGTGCCGTCCTGAATCCGGGGATTGGTCCCGTCCAGGCTCCTCCGAGTAGGTTCTGTGGGGGCTATTCGCGTTTTGTCCTGCGTTGCGTATAGAATTTGACGTGTTGTCATTGGTCAGCCGTCAGCCGGCTATGTAGCGCGGTCGATGCATTTTACACACACATACGCACGATCGCGGCACCTGCGATGAGCGATATTTCGTCGCACACATGGCCTACAGCAGCGCTGCAATGGCAGCACGGCGTGCCACAAGGCACACACACCACCATAGGCCAGAGAAGAGAACAAAATAGGCACCACAACACCCAAACACATTGACGAAAAATCGTATGATGATAAATTTCTTTCCTGCTTCTGAAGACGATCATAACAACTTCCCTGCTTTCTCCCTTTTTTTTTCCTTTTTCTCACGTAAGCAGGTCTTGCGCGCCGCTGTCCGGGCATCGTTCAAGGACGCCGCGGATAAGGAAAAACTGAGGGTGGAAAGGATGCGGAATGTGTCGACGCAGGTTGAACATGTTGATGACGTTGTGCCGTACCGTCCTTCTTGGGGGCGTGGAGCGGTATGACGCCTTTGGGTGTTGGTATGTAGGACACACGGTCTATTAATTAATGTGGTGGCGGTACGTCGACGCCCGTAGCGTGTTACAAGAGTTGGGATTTACGCATTTTGGAGCGAAGGTCGAACTCCTAATGGAGAGGCCGATGGTTGCGGGGAAGGGTGCGCCGCTCGCCCCGCAACTGTCCAAGAGAAAACCTCCAAAGTGTGACAGCGTTTTCCCTACCCCTCCTCGACAATGAAGGCGTTCTCGACCAGCATATCCTAGTTCTTCGTCTAAACAAACCGAGCATATTCTTAGTCCCTTGTCTAAACAACCTGAAGATGGAGTGTGAGCGAACATGGAATATATCGTGCGAGTCCTTGAGTGCAGGCTTTCAAATCTCTGGCGTTGTATATAGGGAGATAGAAAGGGCGGTTTCGTCCTTGGGGCGTGACGTGTTCTCGTTTTCGAACCAGCATCTTTGCTTCTTGCGCGGTGTTCGACCCCCCGCACGGTGCGAGGAGGCGTGCTTCTCGGAAGCTCCCTCAGCGTCGCGCCCTTTCCATCGTTAGGCGTAACTCCCTCGGCCTGTGTGTACGCAACTCGTGCCGTTGTGTGTGACGTTTGACGCTCCTTGCGCGAGGTGGATTTATTTGTTTCTCCCTCTCCCCTCCCCCTAGCGACAGCTAAAGCTGTCTCCCCTTTCGCCGTACCCGGGATTGATTTTCCTGTTCCATGCGCTGCGTTTCGTGCGCGTGTGCATGGCTGCTGCATCAACGGGCTCAAAGGTAAGGTGCAGCGTGTGCGCCGTCCGCGGAGAGCTCGGCGCAGGAGAGGACACCACCCCCACAGCTCATGCACCGACACCAAAAGTAGCGACAATGCGATCGGCGGCGGCGGCAGCAGCAGCAGCAGCAGCAGCAGCGTCAGCGTCAGCGTCAGCCGCAGCAGCAGCAGCCCCCTGCTTTCAGCGGGCGGGAAAAGCCTGGCGCTGGATGGAGTTCCTGAATAACGGTGTTTCTGCGGCTGCCACCGGCAGCCGTTCCCGTGCCGAAAACAACGGCACTACAATTAGCACCATCAAGAACAACAACGATGACAAACGCCCGGTGGTGGGTGAAAGTGGCCGCGGCGGTAATGAAGGTGGGGCCGCCTCACCTACTAAGATGCCAAGAGAGGCTGGCCGAAGCAACCGCTCGAAGACAGAAGCGTCGAGGCGGGGTGCATCAAAGAGGGTTGACAACCTTGAGAAGAGAAAAATAGAAATAGGCGGCGCTGACGACCCGGTAGAACAACCAGAGTTCGGCAACGATGATGACGATGATGATGATGATGACGATGGCAGTTGTGAACGAGACGCAAGCGCGGTACGAGGATCAAGGGCGGTTGAGACCGGGGATAAGAACGGTCGGGAGGCGGTGGAGCTACCACAGCAGCAACGCCACCACCATCACCACTACATTCAACAGCAGCACCACCAACAGCAACAACAACATTCGGATTCGTCATCCACTGGCGGTTTCCTGGTTCACCGCGGCTTGGGAAGGAGAGGGAACAACATTTTTGCTGGACCGGAATCCTCCAGGTCCGCCTGCCGCCAACAGGTATCGTCGTCGGCAACTCCGTTGTCATTGTTTTCACGGCCTCGAGTTGATGCGCTTCTTGCCGAGGATGGTATTCTCCCGCTGGCGGTTGAGGCGGCTCGAGTCCAGCAACAAAGGTTCGGTTCCAGGGGTTGACGGAATTTAATAGCAAGACAAGAAGACCACGTATGTTCACATCGTGGGTCGTCGTCGGCAAACTGGTGTCTCCAATTTTTTTCGAGTCCCGTGGTAGACTTAGACGCAGTGTCAAAGGACAGAATAGGAAGACTAGAATGAGAAGAACACTTGCAGTGCGCAAAAAATACCTTGAATTTTCAAGAACCCCCACTCAGTCAACCCTTATCCGGGGCTGTATCAAGCGCGACTAGACACGGCGGTGCTCCATCCAACCGGGACCCATGGGCAACCGCCGATGCTCTCAAAACTCAGCGGAGAACCAAGTTGGCATCCCACCGGCCCTCGCGTTCTTGACTATGTTTTCTTAGGGCACTTGGCTTTTCCGCTCCGTTGCACACTCTGCTTTATTGTTCTCTTTGGCTGGAATTTCCTTGCCGCAGGTTTGCAAATGTCGGCCGGGGAAGTAGCATGGGCGTCACGAGACGAACGCAGATGGATGACGAACGCAATCTCGCACGATTCTCGAGCACCAAGAACAATCACAGCAGCAGTGGCAGTGAGGGTGACCAACTGCAGCGCCGTCGCCAAGACGTTGTTGGTGACGGCAGAGGCGGCGTTTTTGCCACCGCCGGGGCCGGCAGTCCTGCTGACGCCCAGCACTTCCGTCAGCATCGGCAGCACGCCGCTTCAAGCACGTCAGCCGTGACCAAGACGGCCGAAGAAATAAGGCAGAGACCAGCATCTGCCGGGCAAGCAGATCGCCGACGAACCAGCAAGACGCCTGCCCTGCCGGCCTCTGTAACTAGCCGAAACGCTAACAACAGCGGACGAGCGGAAGACGACCGCCGGCACGACGAAGACGACGGCATGAATCAAAGCTGGAGCGGTGGTGACACAGATGGCGGACTTGTTGTCGGAATCGGTAGCAGCGTTGAACGCGATGCCGGTCGCAATGGTTGGATGCCTCAACCAGTCGACAGGGTAAAAATTGTTCTCCACCCCAGCACCAACAAGCAACTGTGGTAGGGCACGCACCGACGGGATTGGGAGGAGGAGGGAGGTTAAAGGCAAGAAGAAAAGAAGAGGAGGAGCAGGAAGGGAGGAGGTGGAGTGGCACAAACACCTATTTTCTGCCAACTTGAATGGCGGAGGCGTTTGGCTAGCAGGCCACCATAGTCTGGTAAATGTGTCCATGTTGTTAGTTTGTGTTGTTCACTCATGGGCCCCTTGATCGTTGGTTTATCATTCTCAGTGCGAAGTGGCATTTGAGGGTGGGTCAACTTGGGTGGGTGTGGACTAATATGGATTGTGGATGGGGGGAAATAGTTGCATATTTTCGTGTAGATGTGTCCGTCCATGCTTGCGGGAAAGAAAGCATCAATGAGAACGTTGACGGCCACACACAGGAGGAGAGATGCAACCAATCAATGTGCTCGGAGAAGACGATTGAATTCTTAACGCCAAAAGGCCTTAGTTTATAGACGAAGTCTTGAGCGATTATTTTATGTACTCGGTCATGTGCCCGAAGTACGGCACTCACGTCGCCGAGGTTCGGACTATCGTGTGCGACAGGTTTCCGAGACGACCATGCGAGAAACACCCGTGCGTTTGTTGTGTTGTTGTGTTCTGTTTTCCTCCGTTCCTTCGAGCTATTTCGCTCGGTCTAACCACCCATCCTGCCCGACAGAAAAAAAATGCTTCCAGCCATCCCGGGGCTATTGTCACTTCAATAAATTATTCTCTTATCTATCTACATAGGAGCCACTCGTGAAATTATTGCTGGGAGCTGTAGGCCGGTCGCCTTGGTAGTCTAGTTGGTATCCCCGAAGTCTTTTGCAGAGGTCAGGTCAGGGGTTCGAGTCCCGGCGTAAGCGAGCTTTTCTTGCAAAGTGAGTTTTTCTCTCGCTTCCGCTCCTGGCCTATTTAGTGGATAGCGCTAGATCGTGTGTACACAGAGGGAAGAGAGTGCTGAACTCGTCTCGCATTATTAATCGAAGGCAACGTACCGCAGGAGGGGAGGGTAGATAGGGGCTCTTCTGTGTGACCACGGGTTGGAGTAAACGGCACACTAGTGCTGTGAGCGCTGATTTGATTTGAAGCAAAAAAAAAAATCCTCGCATCCAAACAAACGGGTGGGGCTGCCGACGAGGCACTCTATGTCTTGGCGGTTTCGCACGTCCGGTAGAAAATATAATAACGGGATAGTCCCACCGTGCCGAGCGCTTGCACGTACGTATGGACTTGAGCCGCAACAATCAACCACCGGCGGCAAAAAGAGAGTGCATCCTTGGCACGACAAGAAAGAGCTCGCACGGCGCAGTCAAGATAACGGCAACGACCACGGCGGCGGCGGTGGGAATGGTTGGTTGTCGTCACTACTCGGAGCGGACCAGGATTTCTCTACGCACGCGTGCGTGTGGCAACACCTCATGTGCATACATTATTGAGCCGTTCTTCTTTATTTAGTGGTACGACTGACTGTGGGTGTATCTCGAATAGGTAGTCTCTCTGTGCGTGTATTCATTTTTCCTTAATTATTTAGTGGTACTACACATCATCGAGGAGTATACCGCACGCCCCTATCAATGTTGAAGTGAGTATGTGCACCGAAAACCTCCATACTACAATGTACTTCATTGCCGTATCCTCTCCGGCGTGGAGTATAGTATTAGTAGCCGGGCTCCGAAGTTCTGTTCGGGTGTGGTATATATTATCTTACGCGACCGACAACATAACAACAATGCATTACTGGTACTGCTGTGCGTACAGCAGCTCGTTAGAACTGCTGTAAGCCTGTATGTAGACTATACTACAGCAGCAAGCAGCAGTAGATGTAGTAGATGATGTCTCGGCCCTCTCGCTGGTGCTGCTGTGTTGTTGTCTGTTGTTGTACAACGTATGTTGCATAGTCTATAATAAGTAGCTTGATACAGAGAACTTCAAACACACTCCCAATCCGTTCTGAGTCTGTCTGTGACGCTGTCCTCCTACGCAAGTTCTTAAGAAGATAACGTTATACACCTTTATTTAGACCAACAGTCAGTCAGCGCTGACTGCTGTGGTCTAAAGGTGTAACTTTTATCATATAAGTTCTACACGGCATATTTTCCACACAAAGAAGATGAGTTCGTGTGCATGTCATGTACTTCGAAGTATGTATGTATGTACAGTATTGGGTAGTGCTTGCAGCGGACCAATAGACTACATGATAGGGATTAAGGAATAATAAAAACACACACAGAAAGACTACCCATTCGAGATAATATACCCACAGGATGGATGGGTGTTGTTATCGGCCCGATCTTT